ATTTAAGTAAAAACTTTAAAAACATATATTTTTTGTATTGCAGAATATATTTAGATTACTTACAGAAATGTCCTCTTTTTAAACTTGATTGAATAAAGTTAAGTTTTGTTTTTTTTTTAACTTGAGAGAATAAAGAGCTTAGATTAAGTATTACATTTTCATGTTTTATTAATTTTCTGGGTAAGGATTTATAGCAGCCAATAAAAAGATGTAAGAGCAGGAACTGAATGTAGTATGATGTATTTAATAAGAGTATTGCCTCAAGTCAAATTAAAAGAAGAAATAATTTCCCTTGATTTGTTTTGCATACTTACTTGTTTGCAATTTCCACTCATTTATTAATGTCAGATATATTTATTAAAAACCACTTAATGCATTTTGTTTTCCTCCTAATGTAAGATCGTTGATTAAGAAATGAGAATGTCTTATCTTAACCAAAAGTGTCCTTTGTATGTATTGGTAGGATGCATGGACACTTTTTGAGTTATATAAATATTTTCTGTAATTTTGAATATTATTTTCAAAGCTGATGTAAAAAAATGTATTTCTCCCTTCTCTAACTCAAATCATTTAGTCTTACTTTGACCATAAATCATATAATTGTATGTACAATTTATAGAGAACTCTGTTGTAAGTTATTACTTTTACATAGATTTGTCTTATCTTCCAGAAAAAATATATTTAATTTAATACTTACTTTATTTTGATTATATGACTTAATTCAAGGAATATTAATTTTATTATTAAAAGTGATGTTGGTCATTATGTAACTTTCATAGATATTATACCTTAAATGCATAGGGATAATCAGCAGAATTGTGAAAAAGAATTTGCCAGCCTGTGAGCATCAGTGAATTAGAGCATTGATTTATAAATGGTATTTGACATCACATCTGCTTGCTAGATTGTTATTTGTGTCCCAAGGCACAAGTTACTTGTCAACCATCATATATGATGTGTAATTAACAGAGTAAATGAACAGACCTATGTGGCATAATGTCACAGTACCTTAAAATATATGCGAATGTTTAATATATAGACCATAAACATTTTTGTAGGAATGAGCAAGTTATGTTTTCGTTTTTGACACTTTTTTAAAAGAAAGATGTAATATTTCATACTTTGGGAATTTTCCACTAAACTTGAGCTATCTATGTGCTATAATTATGGTAACTAGTTTACATATTTTTAGCTATGATGTGATATTTTGAACATCTTCTGATATGGTACACATGCAGGGCATCATTACTCCCTTTATTGTAGGGTAATCTCAGAAAGGTGAAAATTCTGGATAAGTATTTTAGAATAACAATATGGGCTTCCTGATAGGTTTTTAAATACCCAGTATAATTATTAGAACCAGAAAAAATTGCATTACTAAACCTATTTTTAAGGAAGATTCAGATGTGCTTTCTCTAAATGGCTGGAGTTCAGAGCTATTTGGATTAATATGCATTATACATACTCTTCAGATTAAGCTAAACAGCCTGGGAAATGGATGGCCAATGAACCACTTTATCTGTACTCTGCAGGTACCTTGAGTAGTTTCCCACCTGCAGCATAATTATAATTCTATTTTGATGTAGGCAGTGCTACAGTAGCTAAAATCATTTTCACTTTTTCCCAGAATATACCACGGAGAAATGAAAGATAATACACCCTATTTTAAAACAATATTGTTTTCCTGAATTTAAGCAGTACAATGTAGTCATAATTCAGGAACAGCTCACGTATCCTTTAATAGAAAAATGAACAATTGCTGTCCATGTTGAGAAACACGAACAAAATTAAGTAGACATCACGAGTGTCTCTCAATATTTTGTTAATGAGATTGCTTTCATGATTTTCTAAATCAAAATTAGTTATTCAGAAATGTTTGGTTTCTTATAATATGTTTTGATTTGATTTTTTTCTACACATTTAAATGGAATATAGGGTTGAAACATTTTGGAAACAGATGGAAAAAATGTATCTTGGCATTAATGATTTAGACATTGGAGGGAAATACATGCTCACATGAATTTATATTCATATATGTGTATGTACATATGCAAGTATTCAACATATATTCAAATTTGATTTGAGTAGTTCGGAATTTCATTTTGTTTTTAAAAGTACAATTAGGAACTTCACTATTTGTCATCAGGATGGACCCACAAAGATATCCAGAACAAAATCCCTAGAATTTATGAGTATGTTATATGGTAAAGGATTTTACAGTTGTCATTAATGTTATGGACCTTAAAATAGGGAGATGATCTCATATTATCTCACTGGGTCCAATCTAATCACACAGTCCCTGAAGGCAGAGAACTTTGCAAAGTGAAGTGAGAAAGATGAGGTAGCCAGAGAAGTGAGAGATATTTAAAGCACAAGAGGGGATCGATGCACCATTGTTGGAGGAGCAACTTGGAAAACATGAAGAAGAATGCAGACAATGTCTAGGACCAGAGGAAGTGAGACTTATATTACTCTGCCCTAGAAGAAGAAAATTATTGCCTGTCTTCCATCCAAAGCTGTAGCCCCCTCAGTATAGGTTCCTATCATGTGGCAGCCATACAAGTGTGGCTTTCAGATAATTGGTAAAAAGAGAATCAGCTGTGCACTGTGAAACTGGCTCACAGTCTCCAGCTGTGGCTGGCTTTAGACTGTACTTGAGCTTGTTAGCCTTGGCCTTCTAGGAAGTCCTCATCAATGACTGAGTACCATGGATATACAAGAACTTGCTGTTGTGGTCAGTTCAGGAATCCATACTGTGGAGCTGTACTCTGCTTTGAGGCTCTTTTTACCCAATGTTCCTTCCCCCATCCCCTTCTTTCAAAAATATAGGACCTGCATTACAGTCTGAAGGCTTTTCTTGCCTATTCTTTCCTACTCTCCCTTTTAACATTCATAGGCATTATCCCTCAGTAAATCTGTATTTCTAATTCCACCTTAGTATCTGCTGCCCAGGGGATCTATCTAATACATAAGATTAATTTATTAATTTTCCTTAATTTTCTTTTTCTCTGGGTGGTTTTCTGTGACTTTGAAGATATGTGCTTTTCTTGAACTAATTTTTTTCTCTTTTTTATGTGGCTTAATTTGATCATTTGTAAGATACTGCTATGGCCTGACTGTGTCCCCTCAAAATTCATATACTAAAATCTAATCTCTAAGCTGATGGTATTAGGAGGTAGAAGATGATTAGAACTCTTATTAAAAAGGCCCACATAGCTCCCTTACCCCTAAGACTGTGTGACCACACAGCAAGAAGGTACTGTGAACCAGAAAATAAGCTCTTACCACAAACCAGAATGTGCTAACACTTTGATCTTATACTTCCTATCTCTGTATCTGTTGTATATAAGCTACCCAATGTATGATATTTTGCCTGTACTGAAACAGAGGAGTATTTCAGGATTTATTGTGTTTTTTGAGGGGGGGTGAGTTAAATGTATGCATGTAATGATCAGCATCAATCTATGTAAATCTATTTTTTCTTCAGGATTTATATATTCATTTAACCCATGTGTACTGAGCACCTATTATAGGTTATAGTCTGTTCTAGTGCTGGGACATACCAATGGATAGTACAGACAGAAACTTTGCCTTTATTGAGTTTATTTTATTCTACTGAATGGAAACTATAAATAAATTTAAAGATAAATAAAATATATTCTATTTAGATGCTCTTAAGTAATATGGAGAAAAATAAAGATAGAGATGAGTGGGTCCAGAGTGTTTCCTTATCCTCCATCAGGTCATAGGAAGCGAATTCAGAGGCTCAGAGATAACTTGGGAGTTGCGCATCTATGTTTCAGAATCGATGTAAACAAAGATAAAAGGCACCATGATATTAGTAATGATGTTCACAAATAAAATAGTAGCCATGGTATTGCTAGTGTTGTAAAGGGAAAGGAGTGATAGTCTAGACAGAAGTACACAGATTAAGTAATCCAGCATGAGTCTATACTTTCCATATATTCACATCTTAAAGACTCTCAAAATTACTTTTATTCATTCATGACATTATAATGATGCAGGGCTTTTTAAAACCAATGGCTAAATTTGATGTATGATGAAAAACACAGATATCCTGTATTTCTTATTTAGCTATTATCTGTAGGTCTCTTCATTAAACTAAGGTTTTCCAAAATTCTTCATTTGTAATGTTCTAATTCTGAGATGCTTGGCGATTTTTGCTGTTTTTGATCATATTACCATGTGTCCAAGTAGTAATATCTAAATATGTGGTAATCTTATTTCAGTGGTGCTTCAGAATTTAAGATTTTTGGAGATATATTAAGCCTCATTAAACATTCACATTTAATTAAAAAGCAAATATGTGATAACATCAAAACAAAGAAATGAATTCAGATCACAGATGGATTAGCATATAAATCTATGAATTAATAAATAAACAAAAGCAGAAAATTCACATCTTACATCTCTACATAGAATATTTCTTCTGGCACCAAACTAAGATACATTTGGATTTCATCAATATTAAAATATGTAAAATACATGTTTATATTGCCTCTATATAAGGTTAAAATCATCAATAGACCTTGGGGCCTAATCATGCTAGTAGCACATGTGTCCTAAAAGGAAAGGATGTCACTTTATCACATCAGTTGCTTTTTAATGATTAATTGCAGAATTCATGTGCATGTATTTGCAATAGATTGGATCCATCTAAGACTACTTACTTCATTCCTCTGTGTCTGGGGAGAACAATGTTAGAGGACTGACATTACCTGACCTTAATATTTAGTACAAAACTGCAGTAATCAGGACAGTATGTTGGTAAAAGAGTAGACAGATCACTGGGCTAGAATAGAGAGCCCCAAAATAGACCCACATAAGTATAGTCAACTGATATGTGACAAAAAAGCAAAAGCAGCACCACAGAGTAAAGATCATCACTGCAACAAGTAGTGCTGGAAAAATAGGACATCTACATGTGAAAAAATGAATCTGAACATAAACCTTATAGCCTTCACAAAAATTAAATCATAGTGCTCACTTTGGAAGCACATATACTAAAGCTGGAAAAATACAGAGATGATTAGCATGACTCCTGTGCAAGAAGGACATCCAAATTTATGAAGCATTCAACATTTTTGGAAATAACAGCTGTTGGTGAGGTTGTGGAGAAAAGGAAACCCTCTTACACTGTTGGTGGAATGTATACTGGTGCAGCCACTGTAGAAAAGAGTATGGAGGCTCCTGAGGAAGTTAAAAATAGAACTACTCTATGACCCAGCAATTGCATATCTAGGTACTTATTCAAAAGATACAAAAATTCCAGTTCAAAGGGGTACATGCATCTGATGTTTTTAGCATCTTTATCAATAGCCAAGTTATAGAAAGAACCCAAATGTCCATTGACTGATGAGAGAATAAATAAGAAGTACTGTGTATAACACACACACATATACAGTGGAATATTACCCAGCCATCAGAAATAATGAAATCTTGCCATTTGCAGCGACGTGGATGGAACCAGAGAATTATGCTAAGTGAAATAAGTCAGTCAGAGAAAGACAAATACCATATGATTTTGCTCATATGTGGGATTTAAGAAACAAAACAGATGACTGTTGGGAAAAAACAAAACAAAACCAAAAAAAAAAAAAAAAAAGAAGGAGGCAAACCATAAGAGAATCTTAACTATAGATGACAGAGGGTTGCTGGAGGGGAGGTGGGTGGGAAGATGGGTGGGTATTAAGGATGTGATGAGCACTGGGTGTTATATGTAAGTGATGAATCACTGAATTCTCCTAGAACTAATATACTACATGCTAACTACCTAAAATTTAAATAAAATTTTGAAATGCACACACACACACACACACAAATGAATCATAGACCTGAAAATGCAAAGCTTTAAAACCTTGGGTTTGGAAATGACTTTATTTATTTAACTTATTAAAAAAAATTTTTTTAATATAGTTGACACACAGTGTTACATTACTTTCAGGTATACAATACAGTGATTCAGCTTTTCTGTATGTTATGCTCTGTTCACCACAAGTGTAGATACCTTCTGTTACTATATAATGCTACTACGATGTCATTGACTATATTCCCTATGCTGCGTCTTTTATTGGTATGACTTATTCATTCATAACTGGAAGTCTGTCTCTCCTACTCCCCTTCACCCCTCCTACTTCCCCTCTGGCATGTAGTACAGATCTGGCATGTAGTCCTCTGATTCTGCTTTTTGTTTGTTGGTTTATTCATTGGTCTTTTTAGATTCCACATGTGAGTGAAATCATATGGTATTTGTCTTTCCCAGTCTGACTTATTTCAATTAGCATAATACCTTTTGGGTTTATTTATGCTGTCACAAATAACATGATCTTAGTCTTTCTTAAGACTGTGTAATATTCCATTATATATATGAACCACATCTTATCTATTCATCTATTGATGGATATTTAGGATGTTTCCATATCTTGGCTATTGTAAATAATGTTATAATAAATAGTGTATATATCTTTTTTGTAATATTTTTATTTTTTTTTACTAAATACCTAGTAATTGTGTTATGGATCATATAGTAAAGGTACTTTTTTTTTTTAAGTTTTCTGAGGAATCGCTATACTGTTTTCCACAGTGTCTGCATGAGTTTTCATTCCACCAACAGTACATAAGGTTTCCTTTTTCTACACATCCTTGCCAATACTTATAGTTTATTGTCTTCTTGATTTTAGTCTTTCTAACAGGTGTGAGGTGATATCTCATTATGGTTTGATTTGCATTTCCCTGTGATTAGTAATGTTGAGCATCTTTTCATGTGTCTGTTAGCCATCTGTACGTCTTCTTTGAAAAAATTGCCTATTCAGGTCCTCTGCCAATGTATGAATTAGATTGTATTTAATTGTACAAGTTCTCTATATATTTTGAATATTAACCCATTATTGGATATATTAACCCATATTGGATATATCATTATTGGATATATCATTATATATATTGGATATATTGGATATTGCAACTATCTTTTCCCACTCAGTAGGTTGACTTATGTTGGTGATGGTTTCCTTTGTTATGCAAAAGCTTTTTTATTTTTTATATTGTCCCAATAGTTTATTTTCACTTTTGTTTACCTTGCCTTAAGAGACACACATAGAAAAATGTTGCTACAGCCAATGTCAGAGAAATCACTGCCTGTGTTTTCTTCTAGGAATTTTTATTGTTTCAGGCCTTACATTTTGGTCTTTTATCCATTTTTAGTTTATTTTTTTTTTCTTTCTGGGGTTTGAAAGTGGTCTAGTTTCTTTTTGTTTGTTTCTTTTTTTGTTTTAAAGATTTTATTTACTTATTTGACAGAGAGATCACAAGTAGGAAGAGAGGCAGACAGAAAGAGAGGTGGAAGCAGGCTCCCTGCTGAGCAGAGGGCCCGATGCGGGGCTTGATCCCAAGACCCTGAGATCATGACCTGAGCCAAAGGCAGAGGCTTAACCCACTGAGTTATCCAGACTCCAAAAGTGGTCTAGTTTCATTCTTTTGTATGCAGCTGTCCAGTTTTCCCAGAACCATTTATTGAAGAGACTGTCTTTTCCCCATTGTATATACTTTCCTCCTTTGTCATAGAATAATTGACCATATAAGTGTAGGTTTATTTCTAGGCTCTCTGTTATATTTTATTGATCTATATGTTTGTTTGTTTGTTTTGCCAGTACCATACTGTGTTGATTAGTATGGCTTTGTAATACATTTTGAAATCTGGAATTGTAATAGCTAGAGTTGTCTTTTTTTTTTTTTTTTTTCCTCAAGATTCATTTGGCTATTCAGGGTTTTTTTGTGGTTCCATAAAATTTTTAGAATTATTCTAGTTCTAGTTAGAACTAATTCTAGTTCTAGAATTATTAGTTCTAGTTCTAGGAATGGTGATGACTTTTTAGGTGAAAACTGAAGGCATAATCCATAAAAGGAATAGTTGGTAAGCTGAACTTCATTAAAAAATAAAAATGCTTTGCAAAAGATACTGTCAGAAGAATGAAAAGAAAACAAAAAACAAATAAACAAAAAACAACAAGCCACAGATGGGAAGAAAATATTTGCAAAAAACATATTTGACAAAAGACTGATATCCAAAAGATACAAAGAACTCTTAAAACTCTATAATAAGAGAATTTACAGCCCAATTTTTTTTTAAAAAAGGCAAAACCCTTAAACATTTCAGAAAGAAGTTAAATAGATGGCAAGGAGTGTATGGAAAGATGTTCCATAGCGTATTTTATCAGGGAGATGCAAATTAAAACCGCAGTTATGTACTACCACACACTTATTAGAATGGCCTAAATCTGGAACTCTGACAACACCAAATGTAAGATTGTGGAGCTATAGGAACTCGCATTCATTGCTGGTGAGAATACACAATGAGAGAGCCATTTTGGAAGAGAGTTGCTGGTTTGTTACAAAATTAAACATCCTTTTACCATAAAATCCAGCAGTTGTGCTCTTTGGTATCTACTTAAAGGAAGGGAAAACTTACATCCAAACATAAGCCTGCACAAAGATGATTATAGCAGCTGTTTTCATAATTACCCAACCTGAAAGCAACCAAAATGTCCTTCAGTGGGTGAATGGGTAAATAAACTGTGGCACATCTGGACAATGGAATATTATTTAGCACTGAAAAAAATGAGCTACCACATCCTGAAAAGACATGGAGAAAACTTAAATTCATATTACCAAGGGAAAGAAGCCAATCCAAGAAAGCTGACTTCTAGTTCCTTCTAAATCTTTGCCATCCTGGAAAAGGAAAAACTATGGGAACAGTAAAATGTTAGTTGTTGCTAAGGGTTTGGTGGGGAGAGAGGGATGGATAGGTGAGCAGAGGATTTTTAGGGTAGTGAAACTATTTTGTCTGATAGTATAATGGTGAATATAACAATTATACATTTGTCAAAATCTATGGAACGTATATACCAAAAGTGAACCCTATGTAGATTATGAACTTTGAGTGATAACAATGTGACAATGTAGGTTTAATCGGGTGTAACAAATGTACCGCTGTGATGGGGGATGTCGGAAAGGGGGTGGCTATGCACATGCGGGGAGAGGAGTTCTATGTGAAATCTTTCTCCTGCTTGATTTTCTATACACCGAAAACTGCTCTAAAAATAAAGCCTATTTAAAAAGTACTGAATGAGCTAAATTAATAGAAATTATCCAATTTTCACAGCAGAGATAAATTGAAAAAAAGTAGACAGTATCAGTAAACTGTTGGATGCAATATAAAGTGTTCTAACAAATCAATAGGACTAGAGGAGAGAGAAAATAGTGAAAACAAATTTGAAGAAATAATTGCTGACATTTTCTCTAATCTGTTGAAAAACCATTTCACAGTTTCAAGTTCAATGAAATCCAAGAAAGATAACTACATATAAATTCACATTTATCATTGAATTCCTGAAAATCAAAGATAAAGAACAAATAAGTACTTAAACATCCAGAGGAAAAAGCATAACTGAATACAGAGAATGATAAAACTGACTATACAAAGCCTCAACAAATTTCAGTATTTAATTCATAAGGAGTATATTATCTCACCACATTGTAATTATATTAAAAGCTAATAGTTAAAAGAATATTAAAATGTTCTTTTACATTTATAAATTGAGAAATGCTCTTCCATATAACATGAGTCAATGAAAAAATCCTAACGACAATTCAATATTAATTCATGCTATATGATAACTAAATATTTTGAAAATTTTCCTTTATTTCATCAAATCACTGAGGAAGTTTATGTTAATATCTGTTTTGTTTAATGATGTCTAATTTCACTAATTTCTTCCTGTATTAAAATGAATCACAATTGACATATACTGCAATGCCAGTTTGCCACAGTTTGTCTTTTGTGATTATGCTTCTGTAACTACATTACCATAATGAATGTGTAGTCAACTAAAAAGTGTTTTAATTTATTGGACCATGTTATCAATTAACAGAAAGTGCCAGGATAATAAAGTAGCTGATTCTGCATTTTTATAGAAACCTTGAAGACAAGGCTCCTTATCTCATAGTATAATTCATTCTATCCATCTTTCCAACAGCATATATGTTACCAACGAATTTGATTTCTTGGCATATAGTATTGAATTATCA